GGTCCTCCAGAGAGTTCGTAGAGTCTTCGGGCAAGATGGAGTCAGGAATAGGGCCAGTTGGACGCGACAAAATTTTCGTCGGGTTCTTCTGGCCACGTGCAGATGCCGACGACACACGAGGAATCGGGGCAAAGGAACGGGACGCGGCTGCACGAGCATTAGACGCAGGGTGCAGTGGAACACGCGCGGTGGCCAAAACAGCACGGTTGGAACGTTGAGCGCTCTTTCCAGAGGACGCGGTGACTGGGGGGTCTGCGTCCATGTCGACGTCTTGGGGAACGTCGCCGTCAATGAGCGCATCGTCAGCGTCAAGCTGGGTGTCCATGTCGGCATCAGACATGTCCACAACAGGTTCAGTCACGGAGGTCGGCAGGGCACGAGGGTTTTCTTGGCGGGTAGCGCGGGTAGCAACCATGTTGTCAGAGAGCGTAGAGTAGTACTGCGTAGTAGCTGGCAAATTGGAAACTTGTGTCACATTAGCTCAGTGTCAAATAGGACTATATTAGGTTTTATCCTAATACTAATATTGCCCAATGGGCTCATCCAATTCCTAATGCCTATGCAAAAGCATGTGCGTAGGGCGGCACTGGTTTTCAGAGGTTTTGAAATAAATACATAGAGGTATCAAGAAATACCGTGATTGGGAGAACCAGGTGTTGCGGTACACTGTGTGATGGCCGCGAGAATGATGGGTATCGGAACGTTCGGGGAACAGCGCAGTGATGGTGATGGGCACCATGCGGTCTTGAAACGCACTGATAGTTGGACTTCGTATGTGCTTGACGCCCCACAGCACTTGGGCCAACGCTAATGGCGCTGATCGGTCTCAGAGGTCGGCGCAAGGAGCAGCGTGTAGAGGAGCAGCATTACTTAAAGAAAAAACACGGTAATTTTTTCTCACTCTCGCACACTCACAACAATTACACTCCACTCTCCAGGAAGAAAGTAAAAATAAGGAAAATGGGATATCGGGTTAGAAACATTCTCACCACCTACAGCTAAAGGAATACCTAACCAAATCCAATCAACCCAAAACTGTCATGAATATCGCTCTAAGTAACGTCTGAAGCAACGTTTGAAGCAACGTCTGAATCAACAACAAATGTGCAATTGCTCACCCTCCCAGAGCAATTGCGGCAACATTAATCGCGACATCAAATACCACAAATGTAGCTCTAAGTAACGTACAAGCAGCGTTTGAAGTAACGTCTGGATCATCAACAATTGAGAGTCCCCTCTGTGCTAACGCCTTAGAGCAAACGCTATAGGAAGAAGCACGAATATAGTTCTAAGCAACGTACAAGCGACGCTTCAAGCAACGTCTCAATCAACGTTTGAAGCAACATCAAAAGTAAATAGAGTACGCAAGCAGATCAAGTGAAACACAGTGATGGACGGATATGCAAACGATGGAGGAATGTATGGTGTGCAAGCGATGGTCGGATGAATGATATGACAACGATGGACGGATGCATCATTTGCAAACGATGGTCGAATGAATGATATGCGAACGATGGTCGAATGAATGATATGCGAACGATGGTCGAATGAATGATGTGCAAACGATGGTCGGATGAATGAGTTGATTTTCAATTACTTCTTTTTGTGTAATATTTTCTGACGACTCATATACAAACATGGAACTCCGATTCGGAAAGTATAGAGGTCAAACAGTCGAGCAAGCTTTTATCGAGAACGCAGGATACATTCCATTCATTATGTCCTCGAAGTGTGATAAGTATGCATCCGATGAGCTTCGTCAGTATATCAAGAAGCATTTCTACTCGCGCATTGTCCTTCCATTTGGTAAGTATAAGAATCAGCGATTCATTGATGTTGAAGGAAAGGATCCAGGGTATTGTAATTGGGTTGCTGCCCATGTTGAGGGTTTTAAGCGGTTATGAAATCTATTCTGACATTTCTCTAATAAGATATATATGCACGTCTTAAGAAAATATGAACACTGTTGAAGAATTCATCAAATCTGTTAAATCAGATAATTCATTTGAATTAGTGGGAACAAAGACTCGTAAGCAAGTCAACCATGATTACTATATCAGGCATAAAGAGAAGCTGACGTTGGTCTACAAAAATAGGTACATTTACCTGTCTGAAGCTAACAAGTTGCGCGCGATCTCTCTCTAATAGAATTTACTCGAAAATCGAGTTTTATTTTTTTATGTCTGACTCCATATACAAAACTGAAAATTCTTCAATCTGAGAAAATTTCAATCTTGAGATAAAAATACTAAGGTATATACAGTCTGAGAATATTTTAAACTTGAGATAAAAATACTAAGATATATAAAATGCTGACTCGCCCACAAATCGAAGGACTCGAAGAACTAGGAATCCCACTCGCCGACTGGGGTGCCTCCAAGCGCAGCCGCGTTCGCGTTCACGCAAAGAATAAAACTGGATCGCGCCGTTACATTCTTGCAGCTAATTTGGATGATCGCGTAATCCGATCACTCGCTAGAATCCACAAGGATAAAGGTATCACGTATGAAATGATTAAGGAAGCTATTAAGCCCAAAACACGCACAGCTAGCTTCTACTGGAAACACGAACCCGTTGGAGAGGGTGATGTTTGTATTGACATTAAAGTTCGCCATTGCGTCAATGCTACTCAAGGAGAGTATGAACGCGAGCTTGGAAACGTTATGCGCGAAATGCGTACCATGTACAAGATTAATGTTTGCATTGGATACGATTACGTGGATAAGAACGGTGTTAAGCATAACTTTCACCCTCATATTGTCAACACGGCTATTTTGGATAGACCACTCCAAGTGAGTAAGCGCTCGCAGGTTGATGAAGTGATGCAATCGCTGACTAGTTATGATTACACAACGGCGCCTATGTCAGGGGGATCTGGAGATAAACTTGAACGCATTACGGAGTATTGGATCTACATCTATGATATCGGTGTGACTTTTGGTAAGACAGCTGAGGCTATGCCTCTTGAAATCAAGGATGATTGCAACCTTATCAATCCTCACATCGCATACGATAAGTGCGTCTTCGCATGCATCGGTCTATACTTCAAGATGAAGGATAGTGACAAGGATGTTGACACCCGCAATCTCTCAGCAGTAGGTAAGAAGGCTTTCAAGCAGTGGTGCGAATTCAACAACAAGCAATACTCACTCGATCTCTATAAGTCTGACAAGGGTGTTGAGATGATGGATTAAGACAAGCTTGAAGCCTGCTTCAATGTTGGCATCGATGTCTATCATCTGACTGATATTGATACCTCCGACATGAAGGGTAAGTATGCTCGCGTCTCTGATGCTACACCTGGTTACAAGGAAATCATTCCTTTGATTGTTCACGAAGGTCACGCTGTCCTGATCAAGAACGCTGATAAGGCTAACCGTACTTACATTTGTAAGAAGTGTCAGATGGTCTTCGATACGAACAAGGCTCGCCTTAATCACGAAGCTAACAAGTGTGAGCAGACTGAGCTGATTCAGTATGTTAAGGAGGTTAGTGCCTTCAAACCATCTGACAACAAGATTCTTGCATTCATTGATCGCTATGATATTAAGGATGTTGATCATTACATTAATAACTTCATCGTTTATGATTTTGAAGCGATCTTGGCCGAAGTCGAGAAGAAGGTCGAAGGCGACGATGCCAAGACCACGTTTGTCAGTGAACATATCCCAGTGAGTGTTAGCATTTGTGATTCTCTCATGCGAGAATGCAAGTTCTTCGTAAATGAAATGAAGATCCTAAGCAGCTTATTGATGATATGATCTCGTACGTTGACACAGTCTCTCGCGAAATCATCAAAGTCAATGAAAATAAGTTTGCTCCAATCATTAAACGACTCGAGGAAGATGAGAAACACACTGAGAAGTTGTTTGAAGATGAAATTACACGAATCCTTGGTAATGACAGGAAGGTAGAGAATTTAAATAAGAACTTGAAGTATTCAAAACACGCTGTTGAAGATATTGAAAAGGAAATCATTCTAAATGGTGCTAGAGTAGAGTTAACTGATCGCTTGAATACTGCTAAGGAGGGTGTTCGTATTGATGAACAGAGAATCATTGATGAGACGCTCCTCGGCGTGAGGAGGCTGAAAAAACAGATCGCGCTAGAGTGTTGAGGAAGATGGTTGATAGTGCTAAAGATAAGCGTGAAGATTTCCAGAAGATTATTAGTTCGATCCATGTTGTCTCGTTCAATGGCGGGAAGTATGATATCAACTTAATTAAGAAATGGCTCTTCTCGGCCTTGTTCAATCATTATGATCAAATCAAACTCGCAATTAAGGCTGGTAATAAGTACATGTGCCTTGGTACACCTCGATTCCGATTGATGGATATCACGAACTACATCGCTCCCGGTGTGTCATTCATGGATTATCTCCCTGCTTTTGGCTAAGTTTGCAAATGTGTTAACAAGCTCGAATGCACTTGTAGACTCGGAAAGGGTGTTTTCCCTTACGAATACCTCACCAACTTCTCGAAGCTCAGTGAAACGCAGCGTCCACCTAAATCGGCTTTATATTCCAAACTTAAGAAGGAACACATCAGTGATGATGAATACACGTACCTTCAATTCGTTTGGAAGCATTACGAGATGAAGACGCTCGAAGACTTGCTCAGATGGTATAACAACCTCGATGTGAAGCCTTTCGTCGATGCTATCATTGAACAGCGTCAGTTCTATAAGCGTTACAACATTGATATGTTTCAGGATGCATTCAGTCTCCCTGGTTGTGCTGAGAAGATCTTGTATCAAACAGTTTACAACGCGCTTCCTGAGATGCTTGATCCAGTTGATCGATTCACTTTTCCAGAAGACGTATTCAAACGTCTTACTGCTGGTGAAGACATTGACTTCTCAAACACAATTGATGATGTGAACAACTCATTGAAAACGCAGAAGTATAAATGCTTCGTATGTGATCGTATCATGACTGAACGAACAAGCTACCCATGGTTCCACATCGATTCCAATTTTCAGCACAAAGATGGACATGTTTCTTTGTTCTGTACACGATGCTCGACTGATACTCACGGTATCCCGTATCAAGAAAGGAAAGATACGTTGTTGCAGCTTCAAAAGAGAGAATCACTTCAATTATCGCTTGAGGAATATGACGAAATTTGTGGTGTTGACGATTTAACTGTGACTCAATTGAATGATGCATTGCATGCTCAACAGAATCGTTGCCGAGTGTGTGAAGGTAAACTACAGAAGGATTCAATGGGAATCTATCTCTGTAGCGATGTGACAGGTGGGTTAACGGCTTGCCACCACCTTGCCCGCACCCAGCTCCTAAGTACCTGGCTCATGACGAACCCTAGCTAATGCTTGCCTGGGAATGTGTCTCAAGGGCAAGTATGGCTTAGAATCGCTAGCCTAGTGAAGTTCCCCAATGTCTCAACCGCACCCGCA